TTACTGTAAACTAAAATGCCATATTCAAGAATGGGTAAGATACATTTTCTGTATAGTAACAATCTCGATTCGATATTATTGAAGTTTATCATTATCAATCCAATGAGCTTTCTTGCTTTGGATACTTGAGATATAATGTGTTCAGAAAAGTTCAGACTGTTGCTATATCTTAAACCCAGGTCACGAACGATGTCGAAAGGTTTGAGTGTATGTGTCTGTACAGTCAGATTTAAGTTAAGACAGCGACCAATGTGAATAAATCCACTTTTGTCAACATTAATTGGCAAATTCCACGAAACGGTCCATTCGTATAACTTGTTTATTTCTCCTTCGATTACCGCTGAAATATAGCTTTCCTTGGTGGGAGAAGAAAATGAATAAACTACTTTTAGTTCGTCGGCAAAAAGGAAAGGTTTACCATACTGAAAGAGGGAACACACGTCATTGATTAAAAGGAGAAAGAGTAATGGAACAATCACACTTCCTTGTATAATCCCACTGGTTACATTCACAGGTTTAGAGTATCAAGATCCAAAGCAAACGATATGTCTACGTTCTAAAGAAGATTTGAGCCAAGATAAAAAGGAGATTTTGTATGCCAAATGAAGAGAGTTTTAGAAGAAGAAAATTGTGTGAGACACTGTCGAAAGCTTTACTAAAATCGAAGCAAAGAATTATCACTGACTGACCAATATCTCTTCTGTGGGTAATTTGATCAAAAAATTCCAGGTGTGATGTGAAGCATGAGCGTTTAGTCATAAACCCGTGTTGTGATGGGCTAATCAGACTAGCCGAAAGCAAAAATGATAATAGCTGTTTGAGGATGATTTTTTCCATGGTTCTTGAGAGCACGGATGTCAAATTAATTAGCTTATAGTTAATAATATCACTACGTGGTCCTGTTTTGAATCTAAGGGTGATCAGAGATGTTTTACATGCAGATGGATAGGTCCCATATTCCATGGATAGGTTGAAAAGTTCCAAGCAAAACAGTGGGAATTCTGTAATACCACATTTCAGAAATGATGAAGAGATCCCGTCAGGTCCAACATCATAAGACTTTTTCAGGGCAGCTATGGCTTTCTTGATGTTGTAGGATATAAAATCAGTTTTTGACAGGTGTCTGGATGTCAGCATTGGAAATGTATTGATTGAGCTCTAAGTTCCAGTTTTGTAGCTTTGCAAGAAGTGCTGGCTGAATTGTTCGCAAATAATATCAGGGTCGTTAACATTGCTTCAATACAACTCTATGACCATTCATAAAAAAACTCATGATTAATGTGCACTGAAATAGAGTCTATGTTGATTTTAAACAACAAATCAAGTATATTATTCCCCCTAGTCGGTTTCGAACCTGTTAAACCTATCCACAAATTTCTAGTGTTTCGACAAGCTTGTTATATCGACCTGATACTGACGTCAAACCCCATATAATGTTTGGGAAATTTTAATCACCTCCGATGATTTTAAAAGTATGTGGCTAGTACGAAGCAATGGAAAAGATATTTGTTAGTAATCTGTCAAACTTAGTATCCGCATGAGGTGGTTTGTATATGCATCCCACCAGTAGATAATTTTGAGGTCCACAGGCTACATTAACCCAAGTGGAATCGCCTATGGCATCAAATTCGCACGCCTGAATGTTTGAACGGACATGGATAATTGTACCGCCTCCTAATCCATAACGTCTATCGGCTCTAAAGTAAACGCAGTTATCTACATTCAAGGAGTGATCGAATATAGATGAATTGCACGACGTTTCCGTAATAAATATAATGGTTGGATTTACAAGGAATAAAAGGATTTTAAGATGAGTAATTTTATTGGACAGAGACCGGACATTGAACGAAAGAATGGGAAACTCAGTTATCATCGTGAAGCAGTTTAGAGTATAAATCGTAATTGGTAGTTCCATGAATAGTCGCAGGAGTGGCTAAAGTAAGAGTTGTGTTGTGAGGGGAAACGGATTCAACAACTTTGTCATCATTTGAAATATGTTTACCGTTGCCGACAGAAAGGCCGGTGGAACTACAAAAAACGTCTTCTCATTGCTATTGGATATAACATCCGATAAAGGCATAATGTACATATAGGAAGTCGGACGATGAAGGCTATAAGGTCTACGAGTGCGACCAAGTGGTCATTTACAGTTCAAATTACTATTTATACTTGATATATGGGTAGCGTGTTCCAGACGTTTATTTCCAAGGTTTGTAGCTAATTTTGGCTCCTTCGTAATTTGGAGAGAATCGTGTGCTATTAAGCATACTTGCGATGGTTTGTGAGGTTCGAATATATCGACTTTTAGTGTGTGGTCATTTATACAAATGTTATGATTGGTTTTCCCGTTATCCGTCTCACAGTTACTGTAATTGAGTGTTGCATTAATAGGGATCTGAACTGTATTATTCCATTCGTCATCAGAACAACTACTTCGAGTTGAATCTAAGTCAACATTCTTAAGAAGATGGACACCATCTACACCGGGATTAATTTCTTCTGGGTTTTGAACTTTAGGAGACTCAAAAGAGTTTTTCGGTGGCGGCATACATGTAAAGCTAGACATCCCCTTAGAATCGAAATTAATTTTACGACCATGAGGATTATAATACATTTGGGAGTTTGACACTGATGGTCTGTAGCTATTTCTTCTTGCTTTTCGCAGGCATAATGTTCTATCTGGAAGAATCTTGATATCTTTGAAAATCTGTTGTTGTCTCAATGAATTGGAGAAAGTCAAAAACTCGCTCTCGTCTAAAGATGAGTTGAATTTGAAGAAGAACGGTAAGTGCATACCAGGTTGAATTATTTTAATCTTGTGCATTCACATGGAAGGTGTGTCATATTGCTGGCACTAAGTAGACTAGATTTGATATTTTTAAGGGCATATATGTCCGGTATATTAAACGCAACTGCATTGCTAGATCGTCTTATTCTTTCAAATACCTCTGATGCAGCACGATCTAGAAAATTATTTATATCATTCATTTGATCCCGAGTCTTTGTGAGGTTAGGGTTGATGAGATACTTAGGCGGATTGAGAATGTTCATATCAACTTGCAACTTTTTTACGTCATCCATACGGCTGCAGTTGCGACTTGGATCACTGTTTACCAACTTAGTCTTCAACATGTCTGGAATTGAGACAACTGGTAAAAGTTTGTCTGCTTCATGATGAACGGAGTAGCTCGTCTCGTTGAAACTGTCGGAAATCGTTTCAGTAGTAGTATTATACTGTGTCGATTTCCTACATTTGGCTGAACGCCTAGAAGCAGAAGCCTTCATTTTCTTTTGTGGCATAATGAAAAAGTGACATATAGCAGATGGATTGAACAAAATGTCGGAGATAGAAATGGGTGAAAAAATCAATGCCGAGGGCCCAATATAGTCTGGAAATCAAAACCTATGTTTTAACCAAGAGTGAATGTATCGTGAGAATTAGTGGTGTCAAAAACAAGATATGAGAATTGCAGGAAGATAGTAGTGGAGATGTACTATTTATATCAGTACCTGTGTGGAGGCAAGATACAACATAAAGGATCACGTTCTGTAAGTTTCAACATATATATTATACGTTAAGATAGCCTCGTATAATAAATTAATTTATAAATGTCGATAATTAGTATCAAACAATCAAAATGAGTACGGTATTTGGTACATATATAAACTGAAAGTCCGCATTAGTAAAAATTGGGAGGTGTAGAGATAAGAGGTTTAAAAGATTATTACCGTCTAAGATTAATGTGTTGCTTTATGAACAAATATATGAAACAGCTTTTTGAGTAAAAATACTGTCAAGAAAACTATGACAGACCCACTGAATTGGACAGGTAATTTAGAAAATTAAATGAGTTATAATATCCAACTACGATTTAAATGATAGTACATAAAATAGTGAGTACGGTGCTTTATCATACAGGATTATATATATTTCTTGATATTAGGTAAAGGTCTGAATACATCCTGTAAATACATAAAGTACGTGGGTTATAGTATCCAAACACGACATAATTAAATATTCCTTAAGGAGTAGAATACAGATATGGAATGCAATTCTTCGTCGGGTATGATTATGTATGGTTTAAAAAATGACACGGCATAGTTTGATCGTATTGCCGAAATGAATAAGATGTAATTATATGATGATGAATTATTGTGTGGATATGATCATAAATACCATGAACATATCTGTGAAAATAATCTGAGTGGTTCCAAACTTGGCGGTTGCCGATAAATACTTCCACGTGTATTGTGATGCATATTGGTCATCAAGGTACGGATACATATATGATAAATAACACTGAGATGCCTGTTATTCAGATACACAATGACTTAGGGGTCATCGTTAGTCAAAACGTAAAAACTACTGCACACTGCTGCTCAATAGCAGCCAAAGGTTTTAAAACTTCATGGTAAATACGTAAGGCCTTTAACCATGTTGATGCTGAAAGCTTTTGACTCCAGTACTGTGTACAGTCAGCTAACTTCTGCCAAAATGAGGCCGTGAGCTGTTTAGAAAGGTTCGGAGAACCGCAACCAAGTTGATTCCCGAAATAGTAAGACTCCGGCGTGGAGCTCTAATTCCTAAATCTAACCTATTCCCATTGACGTATAAAATAACCAGTGACGAATTGACCAAAGTTCTCAAATCACTAAGTGATAAACTTGCACCTGATATATCATCATTTTTATTTTTTTCCAAAACAGATAATTCACGATGGCACTATAAAACTTCACAACCCCAGAACAAATTAATGTCCCATAGAATCATCAACAAATGTGATTAATTATCTCAACAAATGATTAAAGCTTCGTCTATCGACATCTTCAAAAGGAATTTGATCCAACTGAGAGACAACCATCGCCAGGATTAACACGGACTACCCATCCTCCATTATTTCCCGGAACAATGCCGTCAATCTGTTCATTCTCACTACATATATAACATATGATGTTCAAGATAATATCTCATTTTCGCTTATCACTATACTAAGTATGTGATTATCAGGACTTTTGATCACCTGTGAGCGTTTTGACTGAAACTTGTTTTAGTATTTTGTCACAATTATTAGTAAACGCGGTATTACAGACTATGGAAGGACAAATTAAAACATATACATTTAACATGGAAATGAGTTGTGAGGGCTGTGCTAAGGCTGCGAAGAGAGTTTTAATGACTCTTGGAGGTAAGAAAAGTAGGAGTCACACCTTAACTCATTTAGATGCAATTAAGGAAATCGAGACGAATGTTGAGAACAATACAGTCACCGTTCAAACCACATTACCTGTTGATGATGTTTTGCACAAGCTCGAAGAAACGCAGAAGAAGGTTGTTTTGGTCACCTCCTAATAATATACAAACTAAATATTCCAGAAATACTTGTTACTATTAATCAAACATGTGGGTAGTTGTTAATAGACATGGTATACTATCTCTATAACCAACCTTATAAGGTTGGTTTAGTAATTTGTTAGTACGAACTTTAAGATCGTGTGGTATTTCTAAATATGAGGTGGTCCACTGCTGGTGCTACATATTTTTGTTTAGACATTTATAGTAATTTGTACTCACTAGTCGACCGGATCCGGTCGATTTATTTAGATATAAAGTTTGTAAGGTATGGGAGAGCTGAACAACCATCTAACTCCATTTGTGCCGTATTTTGTCAACAAAACACAAGTGCAAATAGATCAACCAGTTTATACTAGCTAGTCATAAAACACTGGATAGATAACTTACTAACCAACCATCAGGCATAAAACAGTTCAAGTTAGAATGTTCAGGTCTTTAAATCATTCTTAGTAAACTATTCATAGACACCAGACTTGTTTAGAAAAGTGGTTCCTTACTTTTCAGGTTCCTTAAAAAATATCAAGTACTACAGTAATATAACTAATTGTTAGGTGTATAATATTTGGTCACAAGCGGCGTTCAAATATTGCCCACCAAGAACGAAACTACAGAGTGAACAACAATGATGTTAAGGAAAGAGTTATACATACAGATTGTATTTAGGCCAGATGAATTTCCAAACATCAACAGGTTGTTGGGCCATGTACGAACCTATCCAGCCACCGCCTCTATGTTGACGGATATATAAATAGAATGAAAGAATATTATTGGGTGTCAGGTCAAGATATATCATCAGTACCTGAAACTATAGGCTTTTTGGTTTAGCCGTATTGAGATTCCTGATTGGGGGTTGTAGGTGACAAAATATTATTCACTCGCAGTGGTACATGTACCTAAATTCTTTAATGCGCCTTTCAATCTTAAGCCTTATCGTTTTATTCACGCTTTTAAAACAATATTTCCCGTCTAGTTCCCCATCAATCGTTAGGTTCTACCCTAGGCTTTTCCAAAACCATATTTAATTTTGAGGTTGTAAATCAAACCACCCAGCTCAGAGGACGAAACTCTAACTAAATTTTATTTCTTTGTGGCGGTGGGTAGTGCGAAAGCTTATCTTATAATAGTCTATGACTAATGCACATCTATACACTATCTCAATTCCAGTTAATGGACCAGTCTTCACCTATAGAGTTCCATTGTTGGATAGTTGATCTCGAAATTTCATTTTTCTTTTAAACACTCGTGGCATTATAAAGATAGTAAGGCTTATTCAAAATGAGTTTTGAGTATGAAGGAATTGGTTGTTAGAAATTAGTCATAAGTAAAGAATCTAATTAAGATATACAGTCTTTAATCTTATTCGGGCAAAAAAAGTTGGAGCGTCAGACGATAACAAATTTGAGGAGGCTCTACTACTTATTTTACGATACTAAACTAACGGGTTTTTATTTTCTGAAAATGACACAATATTTTGAGCCGATATGCTGAAATACCATTATTATTCAATTGTGAGATCTGAGATCAAAAGCTAAAATATAGATCGGTGATTGATAAGCGCCACACAATTTCCTAGTAATGGATCAATGCATTCATATATATATATATACGTTGCCTACATCTTCCATAAATTTTTAACGATCTGAAAGCAAAACAGATACGTTGCAGAAATAACTATATTCAACAACAAATAAAAGGTATAAACAAAATTTTAGTCAATCTTGACAAAAAAGTAAAGCATAGTTATTTTCATAGCATACGAAGTTAACCAAACAGATTTTGGTGAGTTTAGAAAAGTTCCATGAGTGTAAAAATGTCCAACAAGAGATTCTTTCGATTGAGTGTATATGAAAAGAAATAGTAAGCACATTTTATCATTCATTTTTCGTTTTCTTAATTGATTCTGATCTTTTGTCATCACCAGTTTGATGAGGCGATTTCATCAATGAGACATGTTCTTTTGCATCATCATTTTCAAAAGATCCTGCGAACCAAAACCCTACTACTAGTATTAAACCAACAAAAATCATAACAGTGAACAACACAATAACTCCAAGCAATATTACGAGAGGTTTCCCGAATTCTTTTTGTAGGTCCTATAGAAAGTGATAGAATAAAACTAAGAATGTAGATACATCAGTCGTCACTGTCATAGCAAATAATAAAGGAAAAGAAACTTAATATATATTTAATCCATTCCAATACTACTTTTACCAATATTACGTTACCTGGGATGTCTCAATACTTCGTACGTCTAGGTTTGAGTAGTAATGTTTTCTCGCTTATTTTTGAAACACATATACGGGACTCTGCTAATGAGGAAATCAAGGTATCTGTAACTGTATTTTCGTACTTCATACTTGTGATGCACATCCTTATTGTAGGACGGATTTTAGGGAAGACAATTTTGAAACTGTGTAACAGTTTAGGTTCACTGCCACGTACGTAGCGCTCGGAGCTCAGGTGGAACGCTATGCTGCTTACCATAAAAAGCGAGTGTACCATACAGCAGTTTGCTTTATAACATTTTACAACTGAAATATCATCTGTAGAAATGGAAAACACACGTAGGCTACGAATATTTGACCACAAGTGTCTTCTAGGCACTGTTAGTGCGTTATACAATTGTCAGCGAGACAAGAAATATTGTAGTCGGCAGCTTTTACGTAGAAACGGTAAGTCAACTCATGAAAAGTAAACAATTAAAAGCTTATTTTGTTTAGATACGTTTTTGGGTGGTTGGTTGCAGCCTAACACTTGATGATGTACGTTAAGAAAACAAAAGAGACCCTATCTTATATATTGAGACGATAAGTGATTGCGACTTGTCAGATGGGATAACGTCTAACTCCCAGATCTTAGCTAAAATATTAGTCAACCTAATCGCTAAAATTGGACCACCATCCTTAAAAACTTCTGGAACCAATCCATCTGGACCAGCTGCCCTTCCTCGTTTCAGATTAACTATAGCTTTTTGAACTTCAGCAAGGGTTGGGGGACCTACTTCAATGTTTCATTCACAGTCTGAGAATGGAGTGTAGTTATAGAGTAGCTGAAAGCCAGTTGAACTGTTCTCTAAAATGTTTCGCCCATCGTTCTAAACAAAGACTGGGAGCAGATGAGAGTATCGTCTTTTTCCGGAATAATCTCACACTTGACTTAATAATTCCAGTTTCTTTTATTAGCCTATAAAGCTGTCTTGTGTTCCCTATAGTTGCCGCCTTTTCCATCTCTTTTGCTTTCGTTACCCACCACTGCTCACGGTCGTTCCTTAGACTTTTTCTTAACCTAGATCTGATTTCTTTACACTCTCCATCATGTTCAGAACGTGGGAGACTAAGGAAACCAACTGTTTCGGTTTGGACACCCGGGCATATATATTTGGTACCTTTTCGTACAAATGTTTATGTGTTCAAATAAGTAAATAAACAAACCGGTATTAACAGTAATTACACAGAAGGAATTATGCACAATTTTCATGACACAACTTACACACAATAATTAGTTTGAAAAGGTAATCCTAACTATCACTTAGAGAGTTCATTAGTGTCTCGTATCTTTCATCTCTTCCCAAGAGATACAGTATACTCAACTTTTCCAAAAGTCGGAAGCTTAAGACTAATTTTTCATTCAATATTATCAAAAGTTATTTGAACTATTCCGTAAACCATCCTACCTTTTGATTCAGTCGTCTGTTTTGACAATTGGCTATTATTCCTTTCTTTTTTCTTACTGAACGTTATTAAAATCTACCTAAAGAGCCTAGACAATTGTTTATTAACTAGTGTTATTATTTTCAGAATCCTTAACTAGCGATCCCAAGTCAAAATCATTCCACTGATTACTTGTAAATCTACATTCAAATGTACTTCTCATCATATCTGAGATCGGTTAGAAAAGCTATGAAATAAACATTCAAATGTAGAAAATCCATAAACAGACATAAATGCAATCCAATTTTATTTAAAATCTAACGAATAAGAATCGACTATTAAGAACAAAAACGATTGAAATAATTAAACCGAAAATGTATGGTATAATGAGTAACGTGCGCATCACTGTATATCTATACGAATAAGTCATGGATAGAAATATAAATTGAGGAAATGTAATTAGCTCATTTAAGTAGTCAATACACATACATGATGATATTGACTATCTATGTTTGAGTATGTGTAATCAATCAATAGGGTTACTTGATTTTTTTTAATTATTAAACATAGTCAGTTTTACGGTGAACAATTCACTTCCATTGCATAGTTAAAGAACAATATTTTGTTATGAATAATTTTAAATAAATACAATGTAACTCTTTATTTTAAAATATCATGTATTGGGAAATGATTCAGTTATATTATAGACTGTTATCGATGAGATTATAATTTATGGACGACCTTCAAGTGACCTCGAGAACATTCACCTACGTACTAGGGCGAAATGAAGGTCATAAACCAGTGTGAGGAATTCTGATTAATATTTATAGTTGATGGTTAGGGCTTTCATCACGAACTGATATGGGCTAAAAGGCCGAAACGCTATTTAGCCAAATGGATGAATAATTTCGCGCTGAAATTCAAGATCTATTATCGCAAATCTGATTGATCCGTCCATAAATTATAGTCTCGTCACTGAAATAATACAAAAGTACCAACTCAATAATTGCAAGATTAAGTGCTCATTGTGAGGTTCGAGTTCGATCTCAGATGGGATCCTGTATTCTCATTGTTGATGAGTTCTATACTAAGATGAAACAATTGACAAGTTCTTTCTGGTTTTAAATGGTTATTCTGTAGCGTCTCGCATAGACTGCTTATAAACTACTAACCAGAACTGCTAGATATTGACAAGTAGACTATATATAAAGACGTTTAATATATCACTTACCACAGTAAATCCAACAAGAGCATCGACCATTTCATCACTGAAAGAGATACAATGTAGTTCTTAAAAAATACAAAAAACGCTATGGTACTTTGCGCAAAAAGAAACAAAATATGGTTGGATAGATGGTGGCTAGTAGTAAAGTCTAAGATGTGCGTTTCGACCCGTTTGGGACACATTAGCTGGATGTAGTCGCATATTAGTACTGATGCTTAATTTAGAATATGGACCATAACTATTTTCATGAGTAAAATGGTCGCGAAAAAACAGTAGCAGGTACGCTACTAAAATAATATTTAGCAAAGAGAAAATACACTTAGAAATTCAGATAACAGAAACTGTATACACAGTGTAAGTCGACTGCATATTATCATCACAATAAACGAACGATATCCTACCGTATACTAGACTCGATAAAATGTTCCCTATAGTTATGAGTAAGCGGAAAATAGTTTGTAATGTGTTGAATAATGAGAGCTTGAGATTTTCACTCAAAGTTGTGCCATTCTGGATAGAAAGAATTAGAATAAGTTAGTATTGAGAACGACATTTTCACGCTTTACTTCAACTTATTTTATTGTCAACAATGAAGTTTATCGACAAAGGAATAAAACTTTCAAAAACAACTTTTACGTGTTACACAATCCTCAAATCTCATAATGATGAAGCGTATTCGACCCAATTCGGAAACTTCAAGTTAATTTTTTAGGTTTCAGCTGTTAGAAAATAATCCACGTTGTAAATCTTTCCAATTTCCTCCTTTAGAATCCCTACATAGTTAATCGATGAACCAACAACCATACGAATGATTTTTCTTTAGATTCTTCAACAATTATTGTCAATGATGAATGTTGTTAATGTTTCTAGTTTGTGAATAATTGATACAATCCCATAAAATAAATAACTCATTATTTTGCTACGACTGTTCTTCATGCTTTGTTAAAACATTCGTCATAACATTTATCAATGCTACATACTTTTGAAAACAAAAACGAATTCAAGTCAACAGAACTGGTACAATAAGCCAAAAAAAGCAAGTTATCAACATACACACTTACAACATCATACGTGGACGTGGAATTGAACCTTTAATATGATTTGGATAGCCAGTAAGTGCAAATTGGGAAACTTGCTCATAATCCATTCGATGTAGATTTTTTGAATATTGATACATGGTGGATTGTTTTAATCTAATGAAAGTTGGAAAAGTTCGCACATCAATATTGCGACGGTAAACATTATATATATATTTTCTAATCAATCTGAATAGTTCTGTTTTGTCTGAGATTTATGTTGAGTCTAGGAAGATAATGAACACTCCACACTTGAACCACCCATTGCTCCTAGAGTGTAACTTCAACAAAACTAATGAATTATTGAAGCCGAACCACTAACTGTTCACATAGAATGTTGTATATGACATTGACAAATTAGTTGTTACATTGAGAGGCTTAAATTTTGAATTTTCGAAGAAGACAAATCAAAATGAATTGGATCTGCACTTTAAGATTATAATAGTTAATTCACATTAATCTAAGGTATGTTTGTGGAGTTATTGAGATAACTTCCATATTGTGCAATGGTTTAAGCAAAACTTAACTGATTTACCAGCAATTTTTGTAATGTAATGGACTGATAATGAGTATGAATATGAAAACACCTTGTAATGTTTAATTTTAAAAAAAAACTCTTATTAGAAATTTCTAATGACGATGACCGATTAAAAATCTTTCTAAATATATCTATGTATCCTAACAGAAAAGTTACATGCCAGCCTCACTTACTAAGCAAATGATAGATAGAATAAAACTGATATAAATAGTAAACCTTTGAAGAGTATTATATGGATAATTCTATGAAGGGATAAATATGAAACAAAGTCGGAGCTTTAGAACTGTCCTATCTGGAGTTATTAATTTTTTTGTCGTTTAATTAATGAATACTTCGGTTATTGTATTCTCTTGTTTGTGAAACATAAACTACTGTCACATGATGTACCTTTCTTAAATTACTGGTAATCTATTATTCAGTTCTTTTTCACTTATGGTGTAGTATGTCTACATTGTAATTCCTTAATAATGCTAATGTGTGGTCAGGATTTTACTCTATATGATTCAGATATTTGAAATGTATAGTTAGAATTTTTCTACTAACTGTGTTATATTCTACTCTGGGTATTGGACTAGCGTGACATAACTACACCCTGGAGCAACAATCGTTAAGTATTGATCTCAGATGTTTTCTCACTATCATTATGTTATTGGTTAGTAGAAGGCAGTTATCAATAGATAGACATTTCAGATGAGCTAATCAATACTCGAACTAGACTGATGCAAATGTTTTTCTGTATTATGATCCCATCATACCGACCCTAAAATAACTCAGGGAATTTGTTTTTTTTTTACCGTCACATTAGGCAATTATCAATTATGTACTGATTGTGATTCCATATTTATGGTGCGTTGTGGTCTTGTAATTAATGGATATAATTTTCATTTGGTTTATTGAATCATAAAATATAAAGAGTACATCAACTGACTTTTCTATTGTTCCAATCAATATCAGCTTAATCTTAAAGGTCAATTATGGTTAACTGTGTAAGAGGACTCAATCGCTTAATGATTCTATTAGATTGGTAAATAGGAAGTTGAATTCATAGAAAAAGAAACAATGAAGTATCCTATCAGGATTCGTATACTAAAGAAATGAAGACCAAGGGTGTATAATTTGGATCAAAACTATGTTTACTGATTACTTACTTGTATAAATCGCCTTAAAACACAATGGATATCTCGAATATTTAGATATACATAATCCTATCAAACAATTTAATTTGCAAACATATTTTATTCTTATCAGAAGGGTTTTGTGGATATATTATAGTAATTTCAATGGTTGAGATCATGAGAAGCAGTGACCATTGGAGTTCAACTGGGTCTGTTGTGAGATGGTAACTCACTGAAGACATTTGTGGATGTGTCGCTGAATTTGATGGATTGGTTAAAATTAGACATTAACAATGTTGGATGCCAACTCAATGGTGTAGTGATTAAGCGCTTGTGCGCGAGACTGTTAGGTCCTGGGTTCGAATTCTGCGAGGCAAGGTCGTGGATGCGCACTTATGAGGAGTCCCACAATAGAACGAAACGGCCGTTAAGTGCTCCCAGGTTTTCCATGGTGGTCAAGCTTCAATTGACTAATGATCTCAACTATTGAAGTTAAGATTTTATTCTGTTTATACATATTGATATAATTCAAATTAAAAAAACCCCAAAAAAATCGAATGTTAAAATGACATTTATCTTATCAGTTGTAGTAAACACATTAACCTAGTACAACGTACACTATTTGTTGCCGTAATATGATTACGAAGAGAAAACAATATATAGTGGTTAGTTAACATAAACACACGAATAGGATACAAAGAGTATAGAGATTAAATTCGATAAAGCACACATCAACAAGCTAATTGATTATGTACATGCATTCATATATACAGAAAAACTTACATACAAATATTAGAAAATTATGAGGTATGGTAGAGTGGAAATCAGAAAAGATTTCAGTTTTAAACAGGAATGACAAGATCCTTCATATATAATGAAGAAACACAGAAATATTTAATTTTTGTTTTATGAGAAATATAGTGACGAAGTTAAAGAGTGTGTCTATGAGAACGAAAAAGGCTGCATTCATACACTATAGTCTGTTCACTGATTCCAAAAACTAGTGAATAAAACAGATATATTGAAAACATGTGTATTGACATAGGGAGCGAATGTAAATGATACGGTAAGGGATGCCAGATCCCTATATATCCCTTGGTAAACGTCTTATTTTTGTAATTTTAATTTGGAAATTTGAATTTTTTATTTCCGCTCCAAAAGCGCCCATTTTCACCTTTACATTGTATTTCTCACTTGGCAGGACCTTAAATATCATTGGTTCGTCCCTTTTTTAATATGCTATTTTGAGACGTTTCTCAAGGACTTTTTTATGCTGTATATATACGCTTGAGTTGTGTGCTTGTTGTTGTTCGTGCTTCTGGCTGCTTGTGGGATATACTTTCCTTCATCTAAACCTGGACTTCTCCCTCTAGTTAGAGGGGCTAGGACACATTAGAATAGTTTGACTGTCTTGTCTTTGTGTCACTAATCCTTCGTTTCGTTCGCCAATTTTATGTGATGTCGTAATCTCTTCAAACACAGCAGATACTAACCAATATTTAGATGTGGGTGGAGTACTGTACTAATCTGAAACTTGGTGGTTGAACGCCTTGACTAACGAACATTTGAGCACTGCCTCATCTTAGTGTTGAACTCTTCAACAGGGTGCACTCACGAAGTCACCAGAAATCAAATACAGAAACTTCAGGTTTAGCGATGAACATTTAAACATTAGAATTACTGAGTCAGTAATCCTTAAACATGAAACATTGTCTGGAAGCTGAGTTACATTAGTTTATTCTTCGTCACTCATATGTTTTATAACTAACATGAAACCTATGTTAAGAATTCCTTGAACACTACCTCAGATCACCTAGCATTTGCATAAAGTAAAATATAATGAAAAGATAGGATTATTCATATGGAGTTTAATCTATCGATAAGTGTTATTATATGAATCTGTTCACTTGAATTCTGTCTACCTGACGCTATATACATGTATGTGATGACATAGGATGTGTTTGAATTCGATAACTGACTCTGTAAGATGAAAAACTCCATTGTATTGGTAATATTACTCGCTCTTCTATGATATGAAATAGGCATTAAATGAAAAAAAAACATAACTACAAATAGACTTTGAAGATCAAATGTGAAGAAATCAATAAGGTTTATCAAATCCCCTCATTCACACTCTATTGTTAGAAGAACTCAAAATCAACTAGTAAGTTTGGGATATGCAAAGGAAAACTTGATACATGTGGATCGATTAGGCCTATGGAAAAAAGAAGTAACTATGAGATTTCAAAATTCAAAAACTAAACGGAGACAAAATGGATGCATCTGTGCCATCCCCAATTAAATGATCTGCACCGATTATAACCAATGACCGATTAACATAGCATTATGAAAATGTGCTTTTTAAGCAATAATATATCTAAGGATGATAATTATAGTCATGTTTTTTGCAAAGTATGACAAACAAAATTTTTAGTTAATGAACATAAATCAATAGTACTAACAAGGGAGATTAGAAGTTTGAAGAAAAAGTGCAAATCGATAATTATTGATCGCAAAAAGAACAATAATGAATGAGACAATATATCATTTTTATCGAACTGAGTGTTGCATATTGTATTACACTTTCTCATAGGTTGTGGATGAGTAACTCTAGTTGGTTAAACGACTAGGCTTCAATCAAAATGTCATGAGTCAGTCAATTATAAGTACTAAAGGACCTGGTATATGTGCATACCAGTTCAAGTTGATACGGAATGCGATGAACCCACCAAGACTAATATCATAGTGATAAAAGTAGCTGCGGTATTATTGATAGTAGAACACATTAGGGATAGAGAATATTACTTCAAGGAAGGGATATGAATATGTCGGGTAAAAGGTATGAAATAGTTTCGAAACTTGAAATCTAAATAGGAACAAAAAGGAAGTGTACCTGTGCCGTTATAACCGATTCTGAAACATATCACCCGACGTTTTTAACTATTGATTACGATGATTGCACAGACCACAACCAGATAGTATGTACCTGTCCATACAACCCGAATCAACGGTTAATGAATTCGAGTACAGATTCCACGTCGTGGTTTAACCACCTCTAGTTTACTTCCAAACTACTCATACACCACTAAATATCTCACAGAACATAGGTCCGAACTCAGACGCACTTAATTATTTCAATTTAGGCAAGCAGATCTTACTGTTCTCATTTACTAGAAATCTAGACCAAAACTTATAGCATATAAATCCGTGTGAAATCAGTTAAAATTATCTTTTTTTTTAATAATTAACAACTACACTGGAATACAATATTAGGAGATTAAAATTTAAATAAAAATTAACTCATTTTACTAGGTACTTGGGTATGAGCCACACTCTTAATGTAAGTTGATAATATAACCCGGTTACCTAAACCAAAGTAGGTAGAACACAGGGTTATTTATTCAAGATACTGTTGAAATAATATGAAACTTTATCAAAAATTAATTTTATTCAATAACTCTATACCAACAACTTTATCATGGTGAGAAATTCTCATTAATAATTGTGCAATAATTTAACAAATTTCTAGGTATCATTACCAACGTTTGACTTGGTAATTTCAAGTAAATTGAGTATTGGGTTAGATTGTTATAAATAGACATAATGTATTTGTAATATCCCAATGAGTAGGAAAGTTAAATATTTTGACGTTTCATTACTCAGTGTAAGTCACTTCATCAGAGAATAAATAACTAACTTAAATTAACCCAAGTAGTAATACGTAGGAAAGTATTTAAACTTGGTTTAATTTAATTTGATTATTTATTCTCTGAAGAATCGGATTATACTGAGCGACGAAACGTCAAACGATTTAATTCTCCTACTCATTATGGTATTAGAAATATATTACTTTTATTTACAACAAATTTATGTTTCATACACATAGTTTCCTTTATTATCTTAAAGAGAACAAGAACAAAGATTGGTACAGAATAATATGAATTCATTTTATTTAGTTAGATTCTCATGAGCTGCTTACAACCTAAATTATTTGAAATTCAACATTATTACAGATATTGACATATTTATACATAAGAGGGTGATTAAAGATGAATAAATGTATCATGGTGTAGCGAAGATTCCGATAGAGTTAATGAGGCCATAAAGTTTTGTCTCGAATAAATAGAGTTTAAGAGGGAAAGTTCCGGAACATTGAAATAGTGATTAGAACTCATGAAGATAGATTAATGGTAATAAAGAAAATATGAATTGAAATCAGTCAGTTATGTATGATGTAATTTAAAAGAGTTGGAGTAATGACGCAATACACATCATGATACACATGTATTGATCCTTATTCACACTCTTATGTATAAATATGTCAATATCTGTAATAATTTTGAATTTCAAATAATTTAAGTTGTAAGCAGCTGATGAGAATCTAACGAAATAAAATGAATTCATATTATTCTGCACCAATCTTTGTTCTTGCTCTATTTAAAATTTATGTTTCACTGGTTGAAATCACGAGTCAATCGAAGCTAGACCAACATGGAAAACCTGAAAGCACTGAATGGCCGTAACGTCCTAGAATGAGACTCCTCAGCAGTGAGCATCCACGATCTAGCCCCCCGCGAGATCCGAACCCAGGCGCTTAACCAATTAGACCACTAAGCCGGCATTCAACGGTGTTAATATCTAACTTCAACCAATCCACGAAGTTGCACCACCGTACATCATTGTCTTCAGTGAGTTCCTATCTCACAACAGAACTGGTTGAACTTCACTGGTAACGGCTGTGCACTACTGAGGAGTTCTATACTGGGAAGAAACGGCCGTCCAGTGCTTCCAGGTTTTCTATGGTGGTCTAGCTTCAATTGATTCATGATTTCAACCAGTGAAATTTCTAAAATCTCCACAAAATCCATTCTGATAAAATCTATGTTTGATAGGTATTTTATTTGTTATTTGTTGAAAAAAAATGTTCATTATCTGTTACCCACATACAAGTATAAAAATTAATCTACCGGTTTAGCTACTAGAATCGTCTTATTATCCCCTTATTATATATAAAATGCATGAATCTCAATGTACTAATTTTTTTTTCTTGCATAGGATAGAGAAAGGTGAAATTAGTTAATAAGTGAAATGTTCTCATTTGTATTGCATAATATTTAACATTTTTAATAATTTGTAAGCCATTTTTTTAGGAAAAAAACAACAGGTGTAATCATAACGCTATTCATTGAAAACAAATATAAAACAGGGAAGTTACTAGTGCATTTATTTGCCACAGTTAAAAAACCAATAGTCTAACCTATTTAATGAGATCATCTCTTTTTTTTCTGTCTTCACATAAATAATCATTAAGGCTGATAAATTATTGTAAGATTTGGAAACTATGAATTAAAAGCTAAGAAACAAAACACATTACTATAATTTCTTATCATAGTGAGTAATGAATACCCTATTTTTACCAATGTTCTGTTGTGAATACAATTTACTTACTTAAAACAATTTCAATAGTATAACTAATATTGAGGCAAATATCTATTACGATGATTGGCTGAATCAAAGCTGGTCATGATTCGTAAACTTAGTCTCTATTTTTAACGATGACCTACGATATTTGATGCATATATATAAATTGATGTGTGGTAGTGAGAATAAAACATGATTGGTCATTTAGCATGGACAAATTAAATATGTAATTTCCCTTCCTGTCATTGATTTCTGCTCCGAACTCACTGAAAGAGACTGCTTGTAACTGTGTGGAATAAAGTATTATCTAATTTGTACTCTGATTTTCTATCCTGGGTTGTGAATCCTGATTCTGATATGATGTGAATAGTTTAATTTTTGTATTGTAGAAGTATACGTGAGGGAGAAAAAAGTATTTTAAACCATCCGTTATATCATGTATATTATATTATATAAAAATAGCGTATAAAGTGACTATTCAGGATAATGCAAATTTATACAAATCATGTTGGATTCAGTGTATCTGATCTCGAGCTATGACTTTTTGGTTTTCCACCTAGAGAAAAACTATTCCGTTAGCCAATTCCATGTTCGAAGAAGCATATAGTTATGACATTGGACAAATTAATCATAAGAAAAAAATGTGTTAAAAATATATTTAGAAGTTAAATGTTTTAACATCTACTTACAAGATTGCTGAAATTAGAGGATTATTCTGAATAGAATCTGATGATATACTGATATTGAAACGTTTAGCTGTACGCGTCGACTGTTTCGGATCAAGAACGCCTATATTGACATGTTTTGCACGTAAACTATAAAAATTATGAAATATGATTTTAAGCATTATATAAAGGAAATGAGAGTAATGTTTATAAGTTATTATTGGAAAGAGAGAGAGAGAGAGAGTAGGGAAAGAGGATGATTCACAGAGTTTAGCAAAACTTTTACTTAAGCGATATTTCCTGTACATCAATGTATAATTCATTTGTCAAATTCAAATAATTTGAGCAGTATAATTGTATTGATAGTAATTAATCATTGTTATATTGTGAAATGTGTGCAGAAATTTCAATTACAAAAATGTACTGTGTGATAATCAAAAATAAAGAAATTTGAATAATTTAACAATAATCAGTTATCCACTTTAAAAAAAAGTAGGGGAACGGGTTAGGTCTATGATTGGACATGGTAAATTCATGGCGATTAGCTAAGATGATGCTTAATTACGATGAAACTGGGATATTCTTATTGTATCGAGCTGGATACACGCGAAATCGGTAGACCAAACAACTGATACAAATCACTTCAATAATAATCCACAATACGACGAAAAAGAGTTCAGGAAAAGCTTGATATTCAATATGTCAAACTTGAAACAAGACAACTTTATATATATACAACAACAAAACATAACTTTAGGATACATGGTTGAATGCCCCCAAATGCCCTGGTACAGTCGAGGGTGGGGAGAGCCAACTCTTCTTCTCCAAATGCTCTCACATGGCCATGTGTATACAGCCAATTCCACGGAAGTCCTACTCACTGACTTCTCGTCGCACGGTGTTGTTTTCGAAACTGAGAGGACGAAGAGCGAATGTCCGGCGCTTTGACCGGGTTGGTAGACACGGAGGACCCACGAGAGGATCCACCTAGGGGAGTTGGAAAACCCTCATCCCAAACCAATAGTGCACATGAGCTCAAGAATCCTATAGGAATAAATGGCGTATGAGCCAATTATTGGTCACCAGCTACCATGGGACTGCATCTCCTTACGTTGATCCATTGCCATGCGGATCAGACCTTCAGATCAAAGGCTTCAGGTGTGGCTCCCTAAGAAAACCATCTCCTTCGGTCTGGACACCCGGGTAGTATCACAGCCCACACATGAGTCAAGTGACCTGTGTGGCGCATACGTATTCGGTGCCCCTTTGTACTAATAATAAATACGTCACTGGGCCAAAACTTGATGTGTCATGTGATACTGAGGTGTGAATGGTTAGTAAATTAAGAGAGACAGGCCCATCCTATAATGTTTAGCATAAGTCCCTACCTTCATATTATATCTCTGACGTCTTTGAGGAATCTGCCCTGTGTAAACTGCTAGATTCTTGTTAAACAAAACACTGTCCGATCCATAACCTGGCTCTCAGTTGTTCATCATGAGTTTTGTAGTTAGATATGATGCGACCCAGTATATATCTAGTGTATCGAGTCGTGGTATTATCTTGTTATATCTATATCCTGAATGCAAAAACACTTGACTACTTAATTACTTCATTAATATAAATATCGCTCAGATAAAAGATAACTGGTACACACAAGAACATAACAAGTCTTTTATGAATTGATAAGAAGAACATATTCCAAAGTTACAAGTTAGATCCAACAGATTAGTGTGTTGCTACCTTGACGTGGTGGTCGCGCTTGCCTATCGTGATGAAACAACCGGGCTATACTGGCTGGAACAACCGTTCCTCAAGGTCCTACCATGTCAGAAAGGTCGGTTGAAGAGCGGTAAGACTAAAAGCAACAAACCGAAGGTCCGAAGGCGAAGCCGTACTGCTGACTGTACAGAGGTGTGACAGCAGTAAGGTGTTTCCTTTAGACAACCAGCATGACAGCGATGCTGCCTTCCCACAAGGAGGGGTGGGGTTAGAAAAGGTCGACCCTAAAAATGCACACCTCACCTTACCTCACGGATTTCCGTCTCCGGCGGTAAGGCCCTTTGAAGAACGGAGCTAACATGTCAAAAAACCTTCCACGAAAAGGCTGTGCGCGACCGGCCTCAAGCAGTTGTCCCTTGGGCACTGCGGTCACGCTCTCAGGTCGCTGAAACCGCCTCTAATCCAATTTCCTTTTCAGGCACCTCCAGAAGAACCCTTCCACGGTGTGGGCAACCGGGAAGTGATAACCGCCCTCATACCTCTAACAGCACTCAAGACCACTGTATTCATAATCAACCTTCCTCTTCAATTCCTATTATTCCTCCTACATCGACTTTCAACCCTAAACTTCCTCCTTCGGCTTCTTCCTCAAGTGTCACCATAGCCAACGATTATAGTGCTCAAAACTCTGTCCCAGGTCTACTGAAACCTCGCTCCAAACTACACATTGAAGCTTTCAACGTACGGACTCTATGTCAAATCGGTCAACAGGCTTCCTTGGCTAAAACCCTAGAGTCTCTTTCCATTGATGTATGCTGTGTCTCCGAAACACGCATACAGGATTCCAGTGTGGTCATTCACTTGACCTCACCTCGGCAAAACGGAGAGCCAACGAGATACACCCTACGTGTATCTGGTGACCCGATGGCCAGTTCTCGTGGACTGGCAGGTGTAGGCATAACACTAAGCATGAGGGCAGAACAAGCACTGCTAGAGTGGATCCCCGTCAACAGTCGTCTATGTGCTGTTCGGCTAAACGGCTCCGTAAGAACTCGGAAGGATAGGGACACACGTCGTTGCCTTTTTGTCGTTTCTGCCTACGCTCCCACCGACTGCAGCTCAGATGATGTGAAAGATGAATTTTACAGAAAGCTTTCTGAACTTCTTCAGAAAGCTAAACGCTCAGACATAGTACTCGTAGGGGGTGACTTTAATGCTCAGATAGGTAGCTTAAACCACACAGAAAGGCATTTAGGTGGATATTTTAGCATTCCGGCACAGCGAACAGATAATGGTGACCGTCTGCTGCAACTGTGCTCAGACAATCGCTTATTTTTAGCAAACACAAATTTTAAGCATAAGGAGAGACATCATCTAACATGGCGACCCCCTACACCAAACCAACGATGGACTCAAATAGACCATATTGCCATCAGTCATCGTTGGAGAGGGTCGATAGAAGATTGTCGCTCATTCTGGAGTACCTGCTTGGACTCCGAGCACGCCATAATACGGGCACGCATCTGCTTGCGCCTCACCGGACGCAAAAAAGCCACATTGAAAAGACCCATTAGAACTGAGTTGAGTAACGAGAAAACCAAAAATAGGTTCCAAGAACAACTGAGTTCACACTTAGGTAGTTCTGAAGACGAGGCTGACCCAGATGTTGCTTGGAAAGACATACAAGCAGCTGTGGAAGCAGCAGTGACATCTATTAGCAACTTAAACCACAGAGTTTCAAAGAACCAGTGGATTTCTTCAAAGTCTATCACACTGATGAATTCTCGCAAACTCGTCCCATCAGGTTCCGAACATGATGAAGAGCGACAACAAATCAGATCTAGGTTAACCAAAAGTCTAAGGAACGACCGTGAGCAGTGGTGGGCAACGAAAGCAAAAGAGATGGAAAAGGCGGCGACTATAGGGAACACAAGACAGCTTTACAGACTAATAAAAGAAACTGGAATTAATAAGTCAAGTATAAGTGAGATTATTTCGGAAAAAGACGATACACTCATCTGCTCCCAGTCCAGACGTTTAGAACGATGGGCGGAACATTTCAGAGAACAGTTCAGCTGGCCTTCAGCTACTCTACAACTACCCTCCATTCCCAAACAGCGTGAATGGAACATTGAAGTAGGTCCCCCAACTCTTGCTGAAGTTCAAAAGACTATAGATAATCTGAAACGAGGAAGGGCAGCTGGTCCAGATGGACTGGCTCCAGAAGTCTTTAAGGATGGTGGTCCAATTTTAGCGATTAGGTTGACTAATATTTTAGCTAAGATCTGGGAGTTAGACGTTATTCCATCTGACTGGTCACAATCACTTATCGTCCCAATATATAAGAAAGGGTCAAAATCATCCTGTGACAACCACAGAGGGATTAGTTTAACTAATATAATATCTAAAATACTAGCCTCGATAATTATCAGACGCCTAACTAAGACTCGTGAACTGCAAACACGAGAAAACCAAGCTGACTTCAGACCTGGTCGTGGCTGCATCGACCACATATTCACCATTCGTCAGGTTCTAGAACACAGGCACACTTATCGGCGTCCGACGATGGTGGTCTTTCTTGACTTAAAAGCAGCATTTGACTCGGTAGACCGCGAGGTTCTGTGGCAGTGTCTGTCATTGAAAGGCGTACCTCAGAAGTACATAAACCTTGTGAAGGCTCTTTACTCGAACACTACTAGTCGAGTGAGAGCTTATGGCGAACTGTCATCTACTTTTGCAACCTCAAGTGGTGTCCGTCAAGGATGTCCACTTTCCCCATTTTTGTTTAACTTCATCATAGACCTACTGATGGAAATAACTTTCTCGTCGACTGAGTTCTCGGGTATTGATCTCCTTTCAGGAGGTCCACTTATCGACTTAGAATACGCAGATGACATAGTCCTGTTTGGTGAAGACGCTGACAAAATGCAGAGTCTTCTGGTAGCACTGAGCAACAATGCCAGGATGTTTGGAATGCGCTTCTCTCCCTCTAAATGCAAGTTGTTGCTTCAGGACTGGCGCTTGTCAACACCTGAACTAAAGATAGGGAGTGAAGAAGTCGAACGCGTTGACAACTTCACTTACCTTGGAATTCTGGTCAGCCCTAATGGGTTGGTATCGGACGAAATCTCAGCACTGATTCGAAAAGCTCGTTTGGCTTTTGCCAACTTATGTCACCTGTGGCTAAGGCGAGATATCCGTCTATCAATAAAAGGACGAGTATACTGCGCGGCAGTCCGTTCTGTTTTAATTTACGGCAGCGAAACATGGCCATTGAGAGTAGAAGACACTCGTAAGTTACTAGTATTTGATCAGAGATGCCTTAGAAATATTGCTGGCGTCTGTTGGGATAACCGGGTAAGTAATAGTGAGGTTAGACGCAGGGTATTAGGGAAGGATGGTAAATCAGTTGATGAGGTTATGAATCTTCATCGACTGAGGTGGTTGGGCCACGTGTTACGTATGCCTGAACACCGATTACCACGACGTGCAATGCTATCCGGTATTGGAAATGGTTGGAAGAAAGTTAGGGGCGGCCAAACCAAAACGTGGCATCAGTGCTTGAAGTCACTAACTTCTAGTCTGAGCCATGTTGATAGATGCAGACTACTTGGTTGGGGTCCGCGTGACTATCGTAACCAATGGTTGGAGACTCTTGGTGACATGGCTCAAAATCGATCACAATGGCGTCGGTGTATACACTCCCTGTCTTCCCTTAAACTAAGAGATTAAAATCACTTCATATCTTTCTTTCTACTAACCAATTCTTTCTTCTTGTACTATATCTCTATATGCAATCTTTCTCTTATATATTACCACCTTTTACCTAACCACTGTTATGAATCCGGTGTTCATCTTGTTGTGCTGATGCGGTATGGCAACCTGGACCGATGCACATATGTGCCTGGTCCTATGTTGTAGCTGACTGACTGACTGACCATTATTATTATTACTAACTATCTAATGTGATTATATGAATAAGTATTTGTTTTGTGTGCATGTATGTGTCGTCTTAACGCTCATTCTGTGATATAAGTAGCTTCAATAAAAAATTTACTGACATTATATTTCAAGCAAATTATTATTTTTATAAATGAATAATTTAATTAACATTAATAAATAAATAATAGATGAACTTATTGTATACTGATCGGTCACGGATAAGTAGTGATTGATCAATGTTAGCATTATCTAGTCTTTATTTTACTGATCTAATTCTATTTGATCATGTTACGATGTAAGTACTAATATAAGTGATTCAGTGTTCAGTTTTGATATTCAGTTGACAAGAAATCAAGGGTTTATGTTTTACGTTAGTTGACATTCATTAATAATGAGTATTTATTGTTTTTTGAAAGAACTAGTGTTTGTCATAGGGTTGGGAACCAACACCAATTAAAGTCGCAGTTGGAAAGGCTAATACTGATCTATTAAGGAAGTAACTGAACTTATATGGTATGGGAAACCATGAAACTAGCGGAGTTCAACTGTACTGAAAAAGTGATAGATATTACTGATGTGATAGAAGGTAGCAGCGAAACTATTGGATATCAACTTATTGGTCAAACCCACAGATCTTAAATTCCATCTCTGGTGGAGCAACTAGTGTGCACTGACAAAAAGCAGCTGTACTGCTACGGTGAAGTAATCAACTGACGCATGGATTTCAATGGGTGTGAGGTAAAATACATTTGCTAAGAACAAGAAGTCCGATATTCAAATAAACGATGTTATTCGGTTCTTTCGACAAAATGAATCTGAAACAGGTTTTCAAGCACTTAGATTAGTAAGAAAGTTATTTTTGACAGAAACAGAAAGAAAATAGGATTCTAAAATCCCCTTGACGTATGTTCTATTGTAATTACTGGTTATCGCTTGAACTTTTAAGTGACTTTGTACAAAAAAACCATGTTAGGCAATGTTAATGGATATATATATACATAATGACACTGAAATGTTTATCACTTACGTTAACGACAATCCATCATAGATCTGTAAGGTGTCTGGTGTGATCTCATCACTTCATACCGAATAGTTCACGAGAAAGAAAATAAAATAAAATAGTTTTCATAAACAGGCAAAGTTACATATTGAGAGAAAAAAACGGTTCAAAGGAGAACCTGAAAATTCGAACTCCAGTTGTCATTATTTTTTACAACTCCACAAACCCTACACATTGAGGTTTAAACTTACTTGAATAGAGAGAGCATCAGGAACTGAATAGCCAATTTATACAGTTTTTGACAATGAAAACCTAGTATTATCATTTAGATTGGCTAAAATACTATTGTCAGAGTCTTTGAGCCGGATGAAATTTCACCATATCGATCCCGCTGATTGCCTTCAGTTTATGACAAAGGATAGAGATCCCAAATAGTATCTATGGACGAGGTTAGTTTGACCAACAAATTCTCAAGAATTTCGTCTTTCCAAATTATTTGAAATATAATTCACTTAAGTTGGTTTTATACTTTGTTATCTGGTCAACTTTGTTTAAACGAATATATCTTGGTAACCAATTACAAGCTTACATCAGTTATTTATTTAAACATAAATATTGGTATAAATTGGCACCAAAATAAATATGGGCCACACAACAAGAGGATGGAACTGTTAAAAAATAGGGGAAGGGGTATAAGTATGATCAAAAACGATAAATGAATGAGAGTAGTAAATAATAATAATAATAATAATAATAATAATAATAATGGGAGAAGCAGTTCGACTGAGGAAATACAATCAGAAAGAATTCGTTCAGTTAAAGAAGTTTTTCATGTTTATAAAGTAAAAGAAAACCATAATATGACCGCTACTGACTTTTATTCCAAGTCATGTCTGATAACGTATTAAAGCCATTGAGCTGCACTATTTCTAGAACTTCAACAAAGAAGTTGTGAAGCACTGACAATGCTACTCCTGTACATCATTCTGAGAGAGTTAAACAGCTTAACTGTGTCTGAGATTTAGTGATGATACTACCCAACTGCATAAACCGGATCTACGAAGGCTTTAAATATGCTTTAGCTACTAAAATATTTACTATTAGATGGTTAACTCAAAAGGGTGTTGTTGATATTGCGTTCTCTGAGCTATAGATATTTTAGCCATGAGGCTTTCATTGTCATTCTAAACAGCATAATCAGGATAAAACTTCAGACCAAAGTAATTTATGAGGATTTCTTCACAAGAGACTAACAGATTGCTTGTGCTCGTGACGTTGTGTCTAGATAGACGATGAAATCTTTATGAGTGAATTAGCTATAGCACAGGGGACGCAATTTCAACCAACCTACTTATTTGAAGAGGTTTCTGTGGTAACTGTTGAGTTATGTACGTTACATCATGGAATAATCTAAGTTCAACATTAATTGAAAGCCAGAAAGCACTGAACAACTGTTTTATCAGGGCATCGGATTCTGCAGCAAGATGTACTCACGGCAGCACCGAGGATGGGACCCATGATCTTCGGTCTCACAGCGAGCGCTTAGCCTTTAAATTACTGACCTACAGCAATTAATAATCATATTCTCACCAGCGAATAGCTTTAAGAGGTATATCCAGGAGTCTTAGTGAAGAGTCATGACAAGTGGAGTTTAACCATGGCGACAGTAAGGCATTTACTCAACAATGCCATTGGAAAATGGTTGTGTAATATCGCAAGTTGATTGAAACAAACACATAAACTATTGAATACTGACTCAGTGATCTAGAATTTAGGTATTCGCTGTCTGATCAAGGATTCTGAGTTTAATCTCCGGTAGGGTTGTGAACGCACATTGTTACTGAAGAGTCTCCTATCACGGGAAAACGAATGCCCACTGCTTCCTAGTTTCCGACAGACCTTTAAGTAATGATAGTACCTAGGGTAAATTATATAATTCTAATTACTTCTACCTTTTATTTCTTATTTTGAACTTTATACAATCAATAAGAAAACGATAATTCTACTACTATAATTAATAACTAAATAAATCCTAAGTAGCCAATCTAAGAAACTGACGTAATAAATTGTTGAACTTGATTATTCAAGCTTTAACCTAAGTGTAACAGAAAGCGCAGATTAATTTACAAGAAGTTCCAACGAGATACAAGTGTGTTAATATTTCTCTGATTGACAAAATAACTAAACAAATAGCTCAAAGAAGAGAACTTCAAAATGCCAACTTTAGTGAAATAGCATACATTAACAACTAATGCGTACAACAGTAGCGAACAAAGTTGTTATGACGTAACAAATACAGTAGAAGCTAAGATTGTTTTTGCCAGATTATTATTGGTAACAAATTTGTTCTATGATTACTAGGTGACTAGATTACTATATGTATTCCTTTTATCATAAGTTTTCGATTAACCTATTACATACTGTTATGTGATTAAATGTTCCTATTTCGTTGCCAGTTTGTTACTTACAGTCTCCCTTACAGACACTTTACGCTCGGTCATGTATAATTATTACTTCTCAATCTATGGTGTGAAGTAGTCTGGCCGGTTGCTACTTCTAGATTCAAAGCTGGACTTAGAGAAGAGCTAGCGAATAGTAGACCAACAAGAACCTAAATTCCGGCTCAAAATCAGTTGCTGTTCGAGCGTGCATTGGCGAAATCCGATCCACTAAGCTGTAAAGTAAATAGTGGGCACGAAATAGACTAAGTTAGAATCTTTGTGGCTTAGTAACCAGCATATAAAAAAACAAAGTGAACATGGTACCATTTCATCTAATATGAATGGAATATTTTAACAAGAATTGATGTCCTACCCAGGGACTTTCAGATTGATTTGAAGCAAGCTAATGAACTAACTTGTTGAAGATGACAACGCAGACTTTGAATAAGGTCATGATGTATGGAATGTGTTTCTCTCTCTAAATGGGAAATTTTGCTTCAAGATGGGTTTGTATCAATGTTTAGCCTAATTATAGGAAGTGGAGTAATTGAGTATTTTACCCGCTTCACGAAACTTTAAAGTGTGGTCGGCGCAATAATCGTGATCAGTGGTAGATTATTTCAAATAACACAGTCCGAAAGCCATTCAAGTGAAAGAGATGCATTCATTCTCTTATGTTACTCCTTGATCCAGTTATTTATCTTTAAAGTATATTTTCTGTTTGATTTTCGATATTATCAATGGTACTACTATTGTTCTGATCCTTTTCCTTCCCTTTAGTTATGCTGATGGTACATAGTATAGCATCATGGGTCAATGCATATTTGGGCAAGTTCTATCCTGTTTGTGACTAACTGATCAATAAAACTGAACATTATTCGATCGAAACATAAATCTCAAATGATAAAATAAAACATAAAGAAGCTTACAAAATAACAAGCCAGTTGCCCGTTGTCGAACCAGTAGAGGCTTGAGTATCGTGTTCAAAATTAGCATCATCTAATCGAGCTGACTGCACGCCTGTAGTAAACTGATGCATAGCATTAATAAGATGAGTGCGATGGAGTGGACCTTTAAAAGAGTAAAAATAAAGTCTTTATTGGTGAATATGATGATTAATCAGTAGCAAATAAACTTGAATAGTGTAAATCACATATTTTTTAACATATATATTGTTCCGAATAATTCTGCACGACATCCACGTTGAGCTTTAATAAAACATCAGAGAATGCTATTAACACGATGACGACCCCAAATGCCCTGGTACAGTCGAGGGTGGGGAGAGCCAACTCTTCTTCTCCAAATGCTCTCACATGGCCATGTGTATACAGCCAATTCCACGGAACTCCTACTCACTGACTTCTCGTCGCACAATGTTGTTTTCGGAACTGAGAGGACGAAGAGCGAATGTCCGGCGCTTTGACCGGGTTGGTAGACACGGAGGACCCACGAGAGGATCCACCTAGGGGAGTTGGAAAACCCTCATCCCAAACCAATAGTACACATGAGCTCAAGAATCCTATAGGAATAAATGGCGTATGAGCCAATTATTGGTCACCGGCTACCATGGGACTGCATCTCCTTACGTTGATCCACTGCCATGCGGATCAGACCTTCAGGTCAAAGGCTTCAGGTGTGGCTCCCTAAGAAAACCATCTCCTTCGGTCTGGACACTCGGGTAGTATCACAGCCCACACACGAGTCAAGTGACTTGTGTGACGCATATGTATTCGGTGCCCCTTTGTACCAATATTTGTCTAAATAAATAAATGGAATGATGTATAAACTGAGTAGTGCTTTCACACAAATGATTAAAGATCAACCACTCGTAACTTAACAAAAGGCATGAAAATTCGAGTGTGCATGATATTTAAGTTTCTCAAAACATGCGTTCTACAACAGTTTTAAGATTTTACGGTTACTGATGTTAACATTAACAAGTCAGAGAATTTTGCAACTTGTCTTGACATGTATTATTACTTGATCAAGTTTAGAAAATTAACTTGTTGTCACTAAGTTTTTTAACCAGCGATGTATTTAATCTAAAAAATGTCTTAAGCAACAAAAAGTTGGCTAGATCGATAGGTCGACAGTAAGTTCAACAAAAAATAATTTAACTGTTAAGTCGAATGACATAAACCCAGTAATGCAAATAAAAGTTAATTTCCAGCACTCAAATATGAGCTCATTACAGATAATGGCAAACGGGGAATGTTAGGACTGTGAGTTAACAACGATAGCACGTATTTGACACATGAATGTCACACAATTGACGAATTGAGAATTTTCGGGTCCTAACATGTACGAAAACTAACTTACCAAAATAAGGGATTTTCCTTTCATTGTTTAAAAACAGTATAGCTGGTGCAGAAAGCATATTAATCCAAGGAACAGTCATATCATTGAGATGAAAAATATCACCTTACAACAAGAGATTTAAGTTAGGAATTCCAATCAACATACCACTGTATAGAACGTCGGAAGAAATTTCATTAAGGAGTTTCTCGTGCATATGGCAGTTATCACAGTTATCAGGAACTGGATGATGAATATTATCAAATTAACAGTATGTATTACTTATGAATAAAAGTGCAGCATTTGACCCTTCTGTATATTCGGAAAGATCAATGTTTAAAACATCATGTAGAGCGACAGTTTTTAAGTCGCCTGAGAGTCCTACTGAGACAACAGAGAATAAAAAATATAGCAACACGTTATTGATTGAGGTCATCTCGCGACCTTGAAATCAAATAAGGCCGCAGTATCAGACATGTTTAACAACGCTTCACTGGCAACGTCCACTGAAGTCTTCAGTAATAAAGATAGTAGGTTGGTGAACCTGTGCTAATCCTAACAGACTGTCTTCCAGTGAAGGTTCAGTTTCCCCTTGAAAATATCCACTGGTATCAGCCCCATCAGTGAATACTTTCAAGGAGAAGCTGGACCTTCACTGGAAAGCAGTGTGTCAGGATTAATACAGGTTCATCAACCTACTATCCTTATTACTGAAGACTGAAGACTGATGGGGCTGATACCACTTGTTCAGGTAAGGCGTTCCAATCACTGACTACTCGATGAGAAAAACGGGACTCCATTTTAAGTTTATTAGATCGCGGTTTATGAACCTTCTTGCTATGACCTGGGAGATTATTAGTGCTGAAGGGAGCGAAAATATAAGACATATTAACACTCAAATCATAATTTAAGATACGAAATGCCAGTATTAGCTCACCTCGTGTCCTACGATACGACAAGGGGCAAAGGTTTAGGCGTTTTAAACGCTTATCGTAAAGGAGTCTAGAAAGATCCTTCACTAATTTCGTTCCCACACGCTGGACACGCTCAAGTGAATTAGTATCCTTTACCAGACATGGGTTAGCCGCTTAGATACAGTGATCTAAATGTGGTCTTACATAGGTGGGATATAAAATTCGAAAAATTTCCTCGTCAAAAGATTTGAACACTCGGTGAACTGACCATAACGCACGAAAACCTTTGATAGCGGCTGCGTTGCAATGCGTAGTTGTTTTTAAGTCACGACTTATTATTACTCCTAAGTCTTTATGCTCTTGAACGCATGGAATCGGTTTACCATCAACAGTATAATGGTAACTATTACCGTGACCGATGTGCATTAGCTCACTCTTCCTAGAATTGATTTCTAAGCCCCAACGTCGAGTCTAACTAAATCGTCTAAGTCAGTTTGAAGATCCAGATGATAAGCCTCCTTTTTTATTGTTCTTCAGATTTTGGCGTCATCCACGAACAATAATGTTGACGACTGAAGCAACAGCGGTAACTCATTAACGTAGAGAAGGAAGAGCAGAGGGCCTAAGATGGTGCCTTGGGGTACACCACTTTTGACCGACTTTCAATCGAATAACGTCCCACTGACCCTCACTCTTTGTCTGCGGTCACATAAGAAGTTTCCTATCCACTCATGTATAGTACCTATTATTCTGAAGCTCGTGAGCTTCTGCGTAAGACCCAAGTGTGAAACCTTGTCAAATGCTTTACTGAAATCTATGAATATCACATCGACAGACAGCCCTGTATCTAAGGCTGCCGTCCAATTCTCTCTCTCAATAAGTAAGTTAGTCAAGCATTAAAACTTGTTACGAAATCCATGTTGCTCAGGAGCTAACAGATTATGTGAATCTATGTGGCCTAGCAACCTAACCCGAATTATATTTTCAAGTAACTTAATGACAATGCTAGTTAGATTGACATGCCGGTAGCTGGATACGATCTGTATCTGACCATCCTTAAATATAGGGCTGACTATAGCGTCTTTCCGTTCTCTAGGGAGTTGAGCGAGTGAAAGGGACATGTTGAAGAGTGTCGCGAGCGGTTTCGACGGGAGACGACAGCAGCCGTGGATGTAACCAGTCAGGGCCCGGTATCATACATTGCAACAAGTCAGTTTTCAACGAAAGGACAGTTTCCTCAGTCACCTGTACAGATTCACTAGCTGGTGTCTCGGTGTGAGTGGGACAAGTATTTGTTACAATAAACGTAGAGTAAACTTCGCTAAAATAGTTTGAAAAAGTCTGAGCTTTTGCCCTATCTGATTCAGCCAGTAAATCTGAATTTTCGTGTAACAGTAACGGGGGAATACCACCACTACGTTTCATTTGCCGCTTAACATACGAAAACAATCGTTTCGGACAAGTACGACTATCATATACCAACTGCTGTCCGAATGAGATTGCGAGCACTTGAAGGCCAGGATGTCGCAAGATGATTGGTGCGTCACATCGAAACTTCGTGAAGTTTTTCAGAAGCGGTCAGACTAAGACATATTTTGATTTGAATTTAGTTCAGCCACAACATGTCTGACAAAGTTCATCCTACAAATAACGAAGACAATGCCATCGTGATGATGCACGATATAGGACGAATCCTTAATGATATTATGTTATCTTGATGATTTGCAAGTTCGGACAATTTTGAGACCTGTCTGAAAGAATTACATAAGGTAATATGACTTCTGTGGTTAATAATTATTTCTGTAGTATACGCATACTAAGTACGTTATGTCAGTATGTAAAATAATAGTGGTGACCCAACTCTAAAGTATTTTTTCGTGAAACGGTATTCAATTACAGATCGAAAGTGCATTTAGCACACCCTTTCTTTGGATAGTCAGTTATGCTTATTTGCTTTATCTCTTGCGTTGTTTAAGAAAACCTGGGTCGCAACATGTATAGCTTGTATTATTTAGTTATTTAGACAAGTTGCACTTCTGAAACCTAGACAATGAACATATATAAAGACTACTATGTGAACATACTTTGAGTTGACCTGTATAATCTGTAATTACTGATGCCTTTTTCATTTTAGTCCCATGTAAGGTATAATTTATTGCCATTTCTGACATCAACACGCAAGCCAGTCAGGCCCTAGTTAATTTTCGAAGATCGTCACATACGATCTAAGACAATCTGGTCACCTGACATTAAGATAACTTGATTATTAAATCGCATATTTCAATGCTTCCTCGTAAGCGCTTTATAATAGTACTTATTTCTGCTAATAGCTATCTTTGCAAGAATACCGGCAGCCTAAAATTTGGAACTCTGTACAAGAGGTAGTAAAGTTATGTTAGCCTAGTCTTCACATAATTGTACCTCTTACATACGAGTCTGGTTTATTTCCTTCAATTTAAGGATTTGGTGGCTTATATATCTTACTGTAGAAGATAATATTAACACCTTAATATGTGTTATAATTATCTACAGCATATACATAACATTTACAACCCTCAGAAATAATAATAATATATTTCTGCATGTGCAGGTACACACCGTTTTTACAGGCATGATCTATAAATTACAACATTTGTTGGTTCACAAAATGTTTCCCAACTTATTAAGTTTATAGTTGTTATAAAGTGAAATCGTAGAGCGCTTACTGTAAACAATGACCTTGAGAGGACGCGTACATCAAGTTTGTTCCAAACATCAGAAGTTTCATAGCTGTGCTCTCAGAGCAAGATTCTGAAGAAAAAAAAAGAAACAGAAGAGCAGCTAGGCACTTGGATATGAATGCAAAACGTTGCTAACATAGTGTAGTAGAACGGACAGAGGTATAATAAATTAGGATGAATTCATATTATGTCTTGTTAGTGAAATGAAGTCAGAGGCTCCATATTAGAGAATGTACTAATAAAGAACAATGAGTTGTGATGTTTAACAAGTTGGAGTAAGCTCACACGAAGGGAAGGAAGTCAAGGCTGGTACAAGGAAAGCGGTTTATAAGAAGGCTGTGTATATAGAGGGTGAAGTGTTAAGAATATTAATGACTACATCTTTTATTGTCTAACTTTTTTTTCCTTTTTTTGTTTGTCCGATGCCAGCCACACAATCCTAGTGTAAAAATCCGAGTTAGCATGTTATAGGTTGTCTTAGTAGAATAGCTAATCCAGCATAATATTGGAAACATGAGTTTGAGTGGTGAGCGTAGGAAAACAATCTATATCACAGATTGATTGACTTATTCTCAATCATGAGGAGCCTGATACATATGAAATGTTCTGTCCCCACAAACACGGGTGTATTGGACAGCTAATATTTTCACTATTGAGCTGTTTCTGCCATAAAAGTCGAACAAAACAGTGAAAATCAGCCAAACATGTAATAAAGAAGGGAAAAACGATAAACCTTATCATAGTATCGTTACTTGTTGAGCAATTTTGGTAGCCTCGACAACAATAAAATGTTTGTGACGATATATGCTTAGATCATGTTATTTCGCATAAAAATAAATGATTTATTTACCCTCGGTGTATAGTTGAGTGGAAATGATTACTAGTCTGCGATACAAATACGGAAAAGCTATTTTAGCAGCACCCGAATAATGAATTTTCAAAGACTTCATGATACCATGTACCGTAAAATGGAAGAACCCATCTCCACTTAATTATGAAAATGGAAAATAAACTTTCAAATTTATTTATAATTAATTTCGAATTTCGGTCGTGCACAAAGCAGAAATAAAAAAGTGGCGCAAAAAGTGTGACGATGCCGCTAGAGCGTTGTTGGCGTGTTTCCATCTCCAATATCATTGTCACAAGCTTGTATAAACCAGTCGATTTGGTTGCACACACTTTTCGTTGTTTCGGTACGGTTCCAGGTATTCGTTAATGTCCGATACGTAGTAGTCCAGCCACTCGACTGTACTAATTCTAGTAGGTTTGGTAGTTATTTGTTCAGTTTCTGTTTGGAAAGTCTATAGTCACCTGACAAGTAATTTGTTCTGGGCTTGTGATATTTTTTGGAGTGTCCTCGTAACTCCTCTGTTTTGGACGACAAGAAGATCAAGGGCATATCATGCGCAAATTTATTACTAGGTAATTTGAAAACTGTAATCAAGTCATCTTTAGTTCTTCGATATGACTGTGAAAATAAGTTTAGCTTAGCCAGTCGAGAATCATACGGGAGCTTCGCTATTCCGGTTATCACCTTAGTTGCTGTTCTTTGAACCGTTTTTAAAAGCTGTCTTTTTTAAGGCAGGAACTATCCGCTTGTATGGAGCACTCAAGTGTAAGACACACGAATACTGTAAAGTCAAAAAAGTTTTAGCGTTGACATGACCGAAGGCCCTACTTATTAACCATAAGATTCTAAAACCTTTAGCGGCTATTGTATGACAGTGGTTTATACGTCCTGACTAACGATGACTCTTAAATCATTGTGTATCTGGTCAACGGGTATCTCAGTGTTATTTATCATGCATGTATCTGTACCTTGATGACCAATATGCAT